CAAGTTTTCTGTAATAACTTCTTACTACTGAGTCCTAAGTCATAAAAACAGAATTGTTTTGACACCACACTTGCAAATGAGATCTCTGTCTCTCTCTCTCTCTCTCTCTATTTTTTTTCACCTGTAGCTTTCTCTGATGTCTTGCTATGCTACCTCTTTTAAGGCTATTTTCTTCTTTCTCGTAGATATAATATGTCTGCTGTGTTATGTATCTTCACACTAATTTTGTTTTAGTGTCTGCACACTTGTATAACTGTCGTCTTTTACTTTCCTTCACTATTTGTACAGTGTAGATGGTTCACTTTTAAATCCAAGTGTTCATTATGACTGTTTCCTTATGTCTTCTACTGTGCCTGAGCATTTACATATTGAAATGAATCTCATTATAACTCACTTTCCTTTCATTTCTTCTTGATATTTTAGATAGGGTTTTACATTTATTTATTTTTAGATTTTATGTGTGGATTGTTGCTGGTAGGTGCCATCTACTTGGTACCAACTCATAGCGACCCTTTGCACAACAGAACAAAACACTGCCCAGCCCTGTGCTAACCTCACAATCATTGTTACCTTTGAGCCCAGTGTTGCTGCCACTGTGCTAATCCATCTAGTTGGGGATCTTCCTCTTTTTCTCTTTTTTCTGCATGATATCCTTCTCCAGATACTGGTTCCTCCTGATAATATGTCTGAAGTATGAGAGAGAAAGTCTGGCCATCCTGGCCTCCAAGGAGCATTCTGGCTGTGCTTCTTCCAACACAGATTGGTTTGTTCTTTTGGCAGTCCACGATAATTTTTAATAATCTTCTCCAATACCGTAGCTCAAATGTATCAGTTCTTCTACGGTCTTCATAATTCATGGTCCAACTTTCACATGCATATACGGTTATTGAAAGTACCATGACTTGGGTCAGGCACATCTTAGTCCTCAAACTGACATCTTTCCTCTTGAAAACTTTAAAGAGGTCTTGTGCAGCAGATTTGCCTAATATAATACGATGTCTGATTTCTTGACTGCTGCTTCCGTGAGTGTTGATGGTTGATCCCAGCAAAATGAAGTCTCTGATAGCTTCATTCTTTGTCTCCTCCATTTATTCTGATGTTATTTATTGGTCCAGTGGTGAGGATTTTTGTTTTCTTTACATTGAGGTGCAAACTATACTTAAAGGCTCTGGTCTTTGATCTTTATCAGTAAATATTTTAAATCCTGTTCACTTTTAGCAAGCAAGGTTGTAGCATCTGCATATCACAGGTTGTTAATAAATCTTCCTCCAATCCTGATGTCACATTTTTCTTCATATGATCCAGTTTCTGCACAGCATTACGTATGGAAGTTACTGCTCTTAAGTGCTGTCAGGTCAGTTACCACTCATGTTGACCCTGTATAGGGTTTCAGAGGAGTGAGCTTGAACTGCTGAGCTTGCATTTCAAACTGGCCTTGTAGCCCAGCGCATTAACCCACAGCGTCATACCAGGACTCTAGTTCCTGGTAAATATCAATGCAGGATGATAAAGAGGTATCTCTTACAAAAAGTAGGAGGAGTTCATTCTGATAGAGTGGAGAACACTATTTTAAGCAGACTTCAAAATTTCCTTTGAGGTTAGCTACAATTAGAATGACTACTCCCCAGTTTTCCTGGAACAGACCTGGTTTACTCCTGTTCTCCTGGCATAATTATTCATTGTGTCCTTCTCACCATCCAGAGTCCCTGTTTGGATTTGGGATGGACACCATCCATCTCCAAAAGCGCTTGAGCACCTTACCATCTTGATTGCAGAATTCACTTTTTGATCCATATTCTGTCTTGATTCCGAACGTGACAAAAAGTTCTGCTATGTCTCCCTTTAACTCCTCCACAGTTGATCTTTTTCATGTCTGAACCTGCCAGGACATTTTTGAGTGATCTAAGACGATTGTTTAAAAGATCTTCAGTGTCTTGAACTTGTTTTCTCCTTTCCAGCTTGTTCCTGTCTTCACCAGCTTTCTTTATTCCTCTATGTTTGGTGTTTTTACTTCACTCTGCTTTCTCTTTTGGTCTTTCTTTTCTAGGTAGCCTTGCTGCCCTGCCAGTTTCATACTTTCACAAAATTAATGTTGCCTTATCTGACAATTGCAACTTTTTTCACCTATAAATAGATCCTGTTAGCTATTTTAGTCCACATTCTTTTTATTTTGCTTTGATATAAACTCTCTGATGTGAACTCACATTAAAATAGGCATTCCTCAATTCTATTTTTACCTGATTGCTTTATGTGTTACCTTTGGACCCTTCCATGAATAGTTCTTATCCTGACATGGAAGAGTCTCCAAGCAACATTCTCTTGTTATGTTTTAGGGATATGCCACATTTTTGCTTTAATTTTATTTTTATGAAAGAAATTAAGAAATTAAAGTTTTTCATTCCTAAGAGTTTTTAAGATGCT